CAAACTGTTTGTTCCTCAGATAGTGACTTCAGCAATCAAGAGCCCTTACGATTGCATAAAACTCATCGTTGTAGGTAGAATAATTCCTTCTTGACCTCGTTAGCTTTTTAATATGCTAGAGGTCTTTGGGCTTCGGTGAGAACAGCCACGTTGCCAACTCCACTTGCATCGCATTCGACCTTAAACATTTTATCAAAGTCTAAAAGGGCAAGGACAAGAGAAAGCTTTTGTTTTATGATTTCAAAGACATTGTGGGCGGCCTTAGTCAATTAAAAAGTTTCATTCTTCATGCATTTCGTAGTTGGAGCCATGACGTTGCTAAAGTTGTTCACAACAACCCATTGGTAGAAAGAAGCAAGTCCATAGATACTCTTTACATCGGAAAATTGATATTGGGACTGGCCAGGTCTTGATTGCCTCCACCTTGAACTAATCGATGGAGATCCCATCCTTGGAAACTACATAGCCCAAGAATATGATGCTTGTAAAAAAGAATTGGTATTTCTCCAATTTTTCATAGAGTTTATGCTTTCTCAAGACTTCAAAGACCTGTTGTAAATGAGATATATGCTCCTCCTCATTCCTACTATAAACGAGAATGTCATCAAAATATATGACTATGAATCAACCAATAAAGGGACGAAGGACCTCGTTAATGAACCTTATAAAGGAGTTGGGAGCATTTGACAAACTAAATAGCATGACTAGCCACTCACAAAGGCCTCTTTTGGTCTTGACAATCTTTTTTCATTCATCTCCTTCTCTCATCTAAATTTGTTGGTAGGCACTCCTCATATCAATCTTGGAGAACACTTTCGAACCATGCAAGTCATTAAGTATTTAATCAAGTCTAAGTATGGGATATCTAGACCGTTATGTTGGTCATAGCTCGGCTGTCGACACACATTCTAATGAATCCATCCTTCTTCGGCACCAGTAGGGATGGAAACGAACAAGGACTCATGCTTTCCCCTACATATCCTCTTGCAATTAGCTCACCATCTTGCCGTTGTAGATCCTTGGTTTTCTTGGGATTGCATCGATAAACAGCTTTGTTGGGTGGAGAAGCACTATGAAGCAAATCGATCTGATGGTCAAGTTTTCCTATAGGAGGTAATCTAGGTGACAAATCCATTGGAAAAACATTTCCAAACTCATCCATCGGGGATTGCAATTTTGGGTGTAGAGGTCTCTCTATCTCAATTTTTCAATTTTCGACCAGAATGAAAGCAAAAACATTTTTCTAATTGTGAATAGCTCTCTTCACCCGTGTTTTATCCAAGAACAGATTGTCATTGCTAGTGTTTTCCTCCCCAGGTTGTTTGTTGTGGTTCAAGAATGGGCTTCAAGGTGCAAGGGTGATGACTTTTTTATCCTTGGGGAATTAATAAGTGTTTTTCTGCCCATCATGCATGGTTTTCCCATAGGGCCTTTCCAATAATAAGTTATATGCATCCATGGGAATGACATTACATATGACCTGATCTTGGTAATTTTTCCCAATTGAAATGATACCAACGCTGGCTTAGTTACTTGGAGATCATTCCATTTGTTCAGCCACTGTAACTTGTATGCTTGGGGATGCTTGGAAGTGGACAGCTTCAACTTATCAATCAGTTGTACGAAAGTTATGTCATTTATGGTCCCCTTATCCCGAGACAACTCTAGTGATTCCAATTACTGAGTTAGGAGGAGAAGAGGAAGACATGAGGAGAATGACTGTGAAGTTAAAATGGAAGCACCAAAGAAATATCTCAAACTAGTTCAACCTAGAGCTTTGATACCGAATTGATACGTGATGGGATTGACAGATCATGAAATTCGTTTTCTGGGCAAAGTGTATGGAAGAGTGTTTAATGGAAATGATTGATGGGAAGGTTTTAGATGGATGCCTATGCATGCCAAAAATGGAACTAGAATAAAACGATTTACCACCAAGGTCTAAAGGTTCACATTACCAACCAAGGATAAAGGACTCAAAATGAAGTTTACCACCTAGGTATAAACGAACAAGCCACTCACCAAATATAAAGGACTACGGGATAGATAAAGTTCATCACAAAGGCATAAAGAATCACCACCAGCCAAGGATAAAAAAAAATATCAAACTCAAATCTTCTCCTACAAAATGAGATTGCACCTGAGGGACTGTACTAAGTAAACGAAAATGACTATTGGAATTCTAAAAACATTAATGACTATAGACGGTTACATAATTATGACTTTTGAAACCATCTACACACTTATGACTCATAAAGTTAAGACTTGTAACGATAACACTATTAGGATGCATAATAACTAGTAATAGATACATTTAACTTGGACTTAGGGGTGTCAGAACCGAACCGGAAAATCGAACCGAAATACAAACTGAACCGAACCGAAATTTCGTGTTTTTTCGGTTCGGTTCGGATAACTGAAAAAATAACTATTTTTTTGCCGGTTTGGGTTTTATTGGTTTGGTTCGGTTCGGTTTATAAGCCGAGCCGAACCGAAAATGCACAACATTTAGATTCGATCATTTGGGTATTTCTCTCTCTGCAGATCTTCCCGTCTCCCTCGGTGGGTAATACTCGACGTTGTTCACTGAGACGCCGCCGCCGCCAATCACCGACTCGTCAGGGAGGATCTGGTTCGTGCCGTACCACCGCCGTCGGAGAGCTCCGGTGGTCGAGGTCGACCTAGTCGCAGCCGCCGGCAAGGTCATAGGGGGTGAAGCGGCAAGTCTTGGGGAAGCCATCGAGGTCGCCACCTGTCTAGAGGAGGGATCCGTCGGGGAGGAACTAACCGGAGGAGCACCAGGTGTCGGTGAGGATGGTGAGGGGGCGGATCCGGTTGGTGGCGAGGTCGAGCATTGCAGAGCGGGCGTAGTAGTCTCGCTTGAGGGCGGCATTGTGGGGGACGAGCCGGCAGTGGCCGTGGGGGAGGCGGAGGTAGGTGGGGACGATGTTGGTGCCCGGGGGGCCGGCACGTGCGAAGGCGGCGAAATCATTGAGGGCGGTGGTCGTGAAGAGGAGGAGAAACCGCCATTGTTGTGAAGGTGAAGCGAAAGGCCCCATGAGAGAGAGGGCGACAAAGAATAGAAGGATGAGGTGGGAGGAGAGAGAGAGAAAGGCATACGTCCAAAAAAGTGAAAAAGCTAATAAAATCAAATCAAATCAGATCAGATTAAATAAAATAAACAAATAAATGAAAACCAAAAATCTGAACCGAACCGAACCGAACCGATCCGAACCAAATTTCAAGGCGCTATTCGGTTCGGATCATATCGGTTCAAGGCACTATTCGGTTCGGTTCGAACGCTTACCCCAACGGTTCGGTTCGGTTCGGATTTCCTTGAAATCCGAATCGAACTGAACCATTGACATCCCTACTTGGACTAGATGTATTTTAATTAAGAGTAGACTCTTCAAATTCGTCCACCAGCTTTGGAAGCTGGATAACCACCTTTGAAGATCAACCAACAACTGTGGAAATCAATCAGAACAGCCTTCAGTTGCTAGGTAGTCAATTAACAGCCTCAATGTCGATAACAAACTTGTAAATGAACATCTTGGTAGTCGATCGGCAACCATGAAATCAACAACTAGTCCATTGAATCGACAACTTCCCTATATAATCGACATATTCAATCTTGAGCCCATCGAATCAAAATTAGAGCTGAAATTGGCATTTGCTTGCACAAGTAAGGATTGGGCTAGATCAATTGACAAGATATGAGTTGAGCTTAAGAATTTGATAAAACCTGATGCTCTCGCATCAATAGGACTCACTCCCCATTCGCCACATTGCATCATTACCACTAAATATGCGGTCGATAATATTTATGCCAAGAATGTCCACGAAAAAATCTATTATTCTGCTACAACAAACGTGCCATGATCGACTGGTTTTGCTATTTCTACACATAAACATTTCAAATATTATCTATCATTCGATTGACCAAGCCAAATTAAAAATGATTATGGATATAATATCGGGGTAGCGTACACTGCCTTTGCATGCAACGTGGATTCTAGGGTTTATATTTTACAAGACACGGATGTCCTCTACGAAGTCTTTTGTCCTATAAGAAATTCCATGAGAGTACATGTACGAAAGATCCTTCAAATACCGTCGGACCTATACGAGGTACAACATGAATTCTTTAGGATGAGAACGACCAATAATAGGTGATGCAATATAGTCGACCGATGAATTTATTTCTCCTGCTTCTCTAGACTTTCCAAATTAATTCAAGCATATGAGGCACAGAACGCATGATCATATCAATGACCGCATACCCACCAAGAGTTCATCATGAAAAAAAACATATCACATCAATTGTCACAATCATTCACTTGCTTCCTTGATTGTCCCTATGCTCTTTGGTTTTCGACTTAGTTTTTCCCTTTCATTACAATCATCTATTCCTTTTATTTTTTGGGCGTTTCGAATTACAATGATCATATAGATAATCAATTAATCACATTCAGGTTATATATCTCTCTTCTTTTTCTTCTTCCTTTCGGTGTGAAAATTAGGAAGCACTATGGTCATCGATGAGCACTATGGTCATCGATGTATCGTTTTACGCGGAGAGCACAAAGAATATCTTTAATAAATATTTCTCTCTTTTTGTTTTGTTTCTCTCTTTTTGTTCTTTTCCTTATGGCGTATCGTAAGGGAAAGGACACAGACATCTGCTGCGAAATCACCGACTGTGAATACGGAGGAAATATACCGGTGGATGCCAGTGTGGATTCTATATTCTGCAGGCCAAAGAAGCATTTAAATACCCTACCATCTCTGCTCCCACTTCACTCTCTCCATATCCAACCCAGCAGCACCACCATTCATTCACAGAGCTGAACTGGTCAGTCTCTCTCTCTCTCTCTCTCTCTCTCTCTCTCTCTCTCTCTCTCTCTCTCTCTCTCTCTCCATGAGTGGAGACTCCACTACAAGGTTCAGAGATTTCTGCCGAGTAACACTCTGCTACTCTTTTTGCATGCACAATGATTTCTTTCCCCTTTTTGTTCAATGATTGAACTTGAAAATCATAAAAGACAAAGATGGCTTTTTTTTAGCAACCGTCATTGCCCTTCTTGGCTCCCTGCGTGTTATCACTTTCTCGTACTTCTGAACTCAACTGGAGCATTTTGCACTGCAAGAACCTATGATGGTTCTCAAGCTCATTCCTTTTTCTGAGATTAGAGATAGATATGGAGCTGTTCATTATGCTGAGCTTCTTCCTCCTAACTTTGTCTTCTTCTAAGAATCCAAGAAAAAACAAAAAGAGAGTTTTCTCTTCACCAAAATTAAATGGAAATTATCTTCTCTTTCTCAAATAAGTGTGCGTTATGGATGTTTTTTTTTTCCTCTCCACTCCTTTTAGTGCCTTTTGATGCTTGTTCTTGGCAAATCCTTTTGTAGCAGACTTTCCTTTTAACTAAGCTTGATTATTTTAGAATAGGTTCTAAACAGTTTGAGACAAATGGTCCAAGCTTTGAAGGAAGTGTTAAAAGTTTCAATCCTCTTCAATTTGGTTGAATTGGCTACTGAGAGGCAGAGGACACAGCATAGATAATTTGGACCGTTGAAACTGATAGTTCATAATTGGCCTCTTGACTAGACACGCGTTCAATTTCTTGTAAATCTGCTACTGAAGGTAGAGTACGAGTATAATGTACTCATTGAGACTACTTAAATGATCTTTCATTCGACAGAGGTGGGATTGATTGCCAGTCATGGCTCGAAACCAACTGGGGGTGCTTGACGCGCTCGATGTGGCCAAGACGCAATGGTATCATTTCACCGCGATCGTGATCGCAGGGATGGGATTCTTCACCGACGCGTACGATCTCTTCAGTATATCTCTCGTCACCAAGTTACTCGGCCGGATATACTACTTTAACCCCGACTCTGACAAGCCTGGCACCTTACCTCCCAAAGTCGCCGCTGCTGTTAACGGTGTTGCACTGTGTGGCACTTTGGCCGGGCAGCTCTTCTTTGGGTGGCTTGGTGACAAGTTGGGACGGAAACGAGTCTATGGTATAACCCTGGTCCTCATGGTCGTTTGCTCTCTCGCCTCCGGGCTCTCGCTTGGCCACCAGCCCAAGGGCGTCATAGGCACCCTCTGTTTCTTCCGGTTCTGGCTTGGTTTTGGCATCGGGGGTGACTACCCGTTGTCTGCGACCATCATGTCTGAATATGCCAACAAGAAGACCCGTGGTGCGTTTATTGCCGCGGTCTTCGCCATGCAAGGATTTGGGATATTGGCTGGAGGGATCGTGGCCCTCATCGTCTCGAGCGCATTCGATCATGCGTTCAATGCTCCTCCGTACTCAGAAGCTAGGGAAGGCTCCACTGTTCCGGAAGCTGATTACATATGGAGGATCATTCTGATGTTTGGCGCAATCCCGGCCGCTATGACCTACTACTGGCGAATGAAGATGCCTGAGACCGCTCGTTACACCGCCCTAGTGGCCAAGAATGCAAAGCAGGCAGCTACCGACATGTCGAAGGTGTTGAATGTCGACCTTGAGGCCGAGGAAGAGAAGGTGGAAAAGATTACGCAAGAGAGATCCCACAACTTCGGCTTGTTCAGCAGAGAATTTGCTCGCCGCCACGGAATTCACCTCATCGGGACCACCACCACTTGGTTCTTGTTGGACATTGCCTATTATAGCTCCAACCTCTTCCAGAAGGACATCTTCAGCAAGGTGGGTTGGCTTCCCAAGGCAGCGACTATGAACGCGATTCATGAAGTCTTCCGCATATCCAAAGCACAGACCTTGATTGCACTCTGCGGCACAGTTCCCGGATACTGGTTCACGGTCGCTTTCATCGATCACATTGGAAGGTTTGCTATCCAATTGATGGGTTTCTTCTTCATGACCGTGTTCATGTTCGCTCTAGCGATCCCTTACCATCACTGGACCCTGAAGCCAAACCACATCGGCTTCGTGATCATGTACTCGTTGACCTTCTTCTTTGCCAACTTTGGGCCCAATGCCACAACGTTCGTAGTGCCGGCAGAGATTTTCCCGGCGAGGCTCCGGTCAACTTGCCACGGCATATCAGCAGCGTGTGGAAAGGCAGGGGCGATTGTCGGGGCCTTCGGGTTTCTGTACGCTGCGCAGGGGAAAGCGTTAGCAGATAGAGACGCCGGTTACCCGGCAGGGATTGGTATGAAGAACTCATTGATCATGCTTGGCGTCATCAACTTCTTTGGGATGTTGTTCACTCTATTAGTCCCTGAATCGAAAGGAAAGTCACTCGAGGAGCTCACAGGCGAAAATGAGGATGAACCCGGTCAGACAGAGCAGCCTCAGGAGGTTTCCGCTGCTAGAACAGTGCCAGAATGATTTCAAACTCCTAAGTGACTTTGTGTTGAAGAATGTAGAAGTAGAAATCAAGTGCTGAAGAAACTTCCCGTGTTGCTGAATTTTATGGAATCGTTGTGCATGATGAATAAGTTTGTTAGAGAAACTCCATTTTGCATTAAAGAAACAGTAGAACATGTAAATATAAATTTCATATAAGATATATGAATGTTTGGTTTTCATGTTTTCAATCTTGAGAGATTTAAATTTACCGTCTGATGCAAATTCCTATAACCTTTGACGTTTCTATGACATTCTGCCTCTATTAGTACATCGGAATAGGTAACCCGAATTGAAACAGCATCAGGATTTAGTTCTATGGCATCGAGGCATGTCGGTTTCAATAATGAGACCTTAAATGTTTGGCGAAATTTGAGCTTGCTTATCATTGTCATATTTGCAGATGATTCCTAAAACTCCAACTCAGAACAGACTGAGATAGCTCAGCCAGCACACCATACAGGTAAATGTTTATCATGTCTATGGGAAACTAAAGTTCGAGCCAAAATTAATCTGATTTCATTCGTGTTGTTTCTAATTTGGACATGGACTGTAATCAAGTATGAAATCTGCCAAGGTTCTAAATTTTCCAATTAGGTGTAGTATTGTCGACGATGTGGAGTTCCAAGGCTGTGGGGATCATTTGCTTTCCTCATTCCAGTTCTCATATACTTCTTGCGACTCCGGAGTCAATGTCGATTTCGACGACTTATTCCTTAGATTCGATAAAGGTGACAAGGGTGCTTTGAATTTTGGACAAGAATCGATGCTACCTGGTCCTCGCGATGTGAAACTGCACCCTTTGCACTTGTGGCTCCGAAACAAACTCGCAAAAAATAAGGAAGTAGACAATCATTGACTTGACTGAGATGATGTGCTTGGACAAAACAAGCCTACGCAGGGATGCTTGCGCCCACGGCAAGTTCTTGCTTCTCACCCTTTCTTTCTTTCTTTCGATCTTTCCGATTCCTCGTGACCCACAAGAAGATACACTGCGTACAGAACAAATTGATCAGCGTGAGCGATGTGACATCCCCACCAAAGAGAAGAAAAGGAATCTCCATTAGGTCCAAAACCTGTTAAAATTTCACATGCTACTTTCATTATATCCAATTACGAAAGTCTCCCCATGATTAGACCCCTTCATTTACGTTCACATTAGGTGAAAGAAACAACTTTTAACACAAACTGCACACAAGACGAAAGTGACAACATCACTCAGCATTTCTCAACTCCCTAATCAAGATTGCAAGAAACACTTGCATCCCTGAAACAAAATGCAAAATGTCTCTCTCACCCTGTGGACGGACTCCCACAAGGTGAACAGTTCTGCATTTGTTTCACGGGCCCCAGCGAGGACGACATATTTCCAAGAGTCCCATCCGTTTGCTATTAAACGATCTTGTCTTTCATTCCATTCGCTGTTATCGATTGCTCTACGCGCTTTTAGGGCGGAAGACGACAGCGGGCCATACGGCGTTTACTTGAATGCGCGATCAGCTCATTGGTTTGTCGCTTTGTAACCGGTTCGGCAGATTTTTCGCAGTGCTCTCGGACTAGAGAGTGACGCTGCCACCTTCTTGTCGTCGTTAATGGTTGCTCTTCACATCAAGTTGCTGGCAAGGTGTCTGAGAAGATGACAACGACGAGAATGTTTTGTTCTGGCGCACTATTCGCGGACGACGGCAAAGTGTGCTTGTGGGGCTTGTCCGCTTTTTTGACATTTCTTCCATGCCGGCTTCGTAATTGGATTATCGTCATTCAAAGCTGTCTCCTCATATAATTGTGTTTTGCTTTCTTGGATGGTTCTTCTGGAAGATGTCTCTCTCGCAATTTCTTTTTTGAAATAATTACACAAATATTCCATAAACTTTATTTTAATATGTAATATCGTCTCTGAATTTTTAATTTATTCAATTTTATCCCTGAATTTTTGGTAAATATTCAATATAGTTCCTAAACTATATGCAAATATCTAATGTTTAACATTTAACAAAAGTTCGGGACCACATTAAACAGATTTAAAGTTCGAGATCGACATTATACATTGAGCTAAAATTATGGGACCACATTAAACAAATTAAAGGTCTATGGACGGAATTGCAAATTGAGATAAAGTTCATGAGCCATTTGTGTTATATTCTCTTTTTTTATATGAAAAATGCAAAAATTTAGGAGGAGAGAAGGCTACCACATGCCAAGGTCGGGGCATACCACAATCCCTCTTATTTTTCCTTTTCCCTCTCAAATTTTTTTTTTTATTTTACTCCCTGCCATCTCACTTTCCTATAAGGAAGAGATCTTTGTGATGTTTTGTTCTCTGGAGCTAATAATTCATATGAACAAGGGTGCTTGCATAATTTATCAAGAAATACGTCAACATAGATATTTGTCAAGACATCGCTAGATTCAATAGCAGGATAGAGGATTTTCGTCCCAAACATTACCGATCCATGCCCGTTTGGCGTAACTTTGGAGTTTGCCGTTTGAAGGCAATGGAGTATCACTTTATTAATGTCTTACTTTTCCATCTCTTTTTGTCAAGTGAAAATTCATTTTAAATCGATAGATTTTGAGCCAATAAAATACCATCACTACAAAAAAATATGTAATTTGCGACGGAAATTTTTCGTCGCAAATTTTGCGACGGATTATATTTTCCATCGCAAATTTGCGACGGAAATAAACCGTCGCTAATTTGCAACGAAATTTGCGACGGATGAAAAATCCGTCGGAAATTTGCGACGGAATTTTTATACGTCGCAAATTTGTGACGGAAATAAAAAACCGTCGCTAATTCCGTCGCAAATTTGCGACGGAAAAAAGTTCGTCGCAAATTTGCGACGGAAATAAGTTCGTCGCAAATTTGCAACGGAAAATAAATCCGTCGCAAATTTTCGACGGAAAAAAAAACCGTCGCCAAATCCGTCGCAAATTTGCGACGAAAACGCACGTCCGTCGCAAATTTGTAGTTTATTAGCCCGTGATATTCCAACCCTATCTCTCTCTCTCTCGCTCTCTCTCGCTCTCTCTCGCTTTTCTCTCTCTTTCATATGTCTGAAATCAGCAAAATTTGTGTGACATCCCGAATTTCGGCTCATTTTTGGGACTTATAAAACGCGTAATTTGTCAGTGTGCTTATAATAAAATCTCGCCCGGGAACTGATCACTCCCGGTTATCATTTTAAAATAGAGATTTCGCTAGAATCGCACTCGATCGAATTTGGCCGTTATTTAGATCCTGAACTTGGCAGTCGATTTTCGGAAGTTTCGGGACGAAATAAATTGGACGGTGTCGATATGGTCGGGGCCAACGTTGAGATTGTCAGGAATAATGGAAAAAGGGGAGTTTTTAACCAGGTGCAAATTTGGACTAGTAGACCTCCCTCGCTATAGTTTGATTTAATTAATTTGGCCTTTGTCCCTTTTTATATTCGAGGCTTATTTTAGACCGGCAGATCGTTTTCGATTTTGAATTTGGGTCATCGGATCGCATTTATTATTTGAATGAAATTTATTTTTTTGTTCTTCTCTCTCCCCCTCTCTCTCTCTTTCTCTCTCTCTCTCCCTTCCTTCTGTCGCGCCGAAAACCCCCCTGCCCGCACGTTTGTCCTTTTCTCTCCCTCTTTCCTTCTCCCTCTGCTTTCCCGAGCCGTGCACGTCTTCTCCCCCGGTCACGTCCCGTCTGCATGTCAGCCATGCACCCACTCCGTTCTCTCTCTCATTCTTTTCTTTTTTTCATTCTTTCTTCTTCTCTCTCTCCTCTCTTCTCTTTCTTCTTCCTCCCTCAGCCCGACTGGTTCTGCTTCGTTCCTGCTCTGCTCGCCGGCTGCTGCTCGACCGCCCATCCAGCTTCGCCCGACGCCGCCTGGGCAAATGCGCCGACGCCGCTGTCCTCCTCGCACCGTCGTCGCGCGCCGCCGCAGGCAGCAGCTCTCCGCCCGACGCCGCTTCCTCCCTCCCGAGCGCACGAGCTCGGCTCGTCGCCGCTCCACTGGGCCACCACCGCCCAAGAAGCTCGGCCGTGCCGCGCCCCTCCGCGCCCGCCGCCCGACCGTCGTCTTCTCCTCCCTTGCGCGCAGCTAGCCGAGCTCGCTGATGCCGCTCTTCGCGCCCGGGCTGGCTGTTCGCCGGCTCGCCGCCGCCGCCACATCACCGCCGCGAGGTCGCGCAGTGTGCCGTCGCCGTGGGCCACCGTCCCTCTCACCTCAGTCGGCAGCCCTTCCACCCACAGCCATCACTCCTCCCTCTCTTCCTCTTTGTTTTGGCCGTGGAAGGCCCTTCGCCGGAGGAGCTTCGCCGCCGCCGCCGGGGACTGTTCCGCCGCCACCACCGTCTCACCCAGCCTCGTCCAGCCGTCCCACTCTCTCTGGCCGTGTCCCTTTCCCCCTCTCTAAGCCGTGGAATCGTCTAGTCCGTCGCCGCCGTTCGCGCCGTTTGCCGGAGTCGCCGCTCGCCGCCACTGTTCCGGCGAGGGACTGCCGCTGCCCAGCCCCTTTTCGTCGCGTGTTCGGCCCGTTTCAAGCTTAGGACATCCGGTGAGTTTGACCCTAAACCCTAATTAGGATAATTTGCATTTCTAGATGGGTTTTAGGGATTAATTAGGGTTTTTAAGGGGTTAAATGGTGGATGGTGATATGGGCTGAATTTGTGGTGTTTTTGGTGATCAAGGATGATTATTTAGTCGAGGTTTAGCGGCCCGTATAGTGCTGTGATGTGGCGAAGCATGGGTGCCGAGATTTAGACAAAATGGCGAACTTAGTGGATGAAATTGATAGACCGGGTCGTGGCTGTTGTGGTGGTTATTTTGGTGGCTGTTCTACGGGATTAGTGTGATGAATTAATGGAGGTTTAGTGGCCCGAGAGGCGCTGAGTATTGACTGGACAGATTTGGATCGGAATAGCCCAAGTTCGGGAGAGTTCGGGCTTGAATTGCGGATTTTAGTGCGTGTTTTATTTAGCTTTGTGGTGGCTGATTTGAGTGGCGTTCTGGAGAGCTGATGGAATATTTCGAGGATAATTAATGGCCTAGAATTAGTGGACTAGTGGCTGTCCATGGCCGGGTCGTATTGGTGCGAGGCGCGGTTGATTTGAGGTTTAATAGTGTAATTGGCGGAATTATCGGACAGACCGAGTTAGTGATTAAATTATCCTCGATTAGGAGCGATTCGGCAATGTCGTGACATGTTTAATGTGGCTAAGAGTGGAGTAGCTTGGCGAGCCTCAATTGCACGGATTTATGTTGAGCTAATCGCGTGACTTATATGTGTGAATTTCGTGCCGTGCCAGAGTACTTGATTTGTCTTCATGGTTGTGTAGTATGTTGGTTGGGCATATTGAAATGTGGAATGAGCATATTGCGTGATTTTCGGGTGCCGATGATGTACCATGGCTGATTTGAATTAATTGATTGATTGGGCTTGTGATTCATTGAATTGAGCATATTGTGTTGTGAATTGAACAAGTGGCGTTGTGCAATTGAATGCTCATTGTGAAATTCGTGAGTGCCCAAGTGTGAACTTCATGGCCATGGGTGTGCATCTCGAGCATTGGCATAGCATGTGCATATATGAGTGTGCACAAATGACATGAG